GAAATATTGAAAAACCAAAGGAAAAATTAATAAAATTGAAATTAAGAAAACTATTGAACTAATAATAAAACTAAGAGCTGGTTTTATGAAAAAACAATAAAATAGATAAGCCTTTGGTTAATTTAATTAAAAAAAAAAAGAAGAAAACCAAATTACTAGTATCAAGAATGAAAAGGGAAGCTACCACCAAGGAAGAGGAAATTAAAACAATAATTAGGAATTATTTTGCCCAACTATATGCCAACAAATTTGACAATCTTAGTGAAATGGATACATATTTACAAAAATATAAATTGCCCAGATTAACGAAGAGGAAGTAAAATACTTAAATAACCCCATCCATCTCAGAAAAAGAAATTGAACAAGCCATTGATGAACTCCCTAGGAAAAAATCTCCAGGGCCAGATGGATTTACATGCGAATTCTATCAAACATTTAAAGAACAATTAATTCCAATACTATATAGACTATTTGGGAAAATAGGTGAAGAAGGAGTCTTACCAAATTCTTTTTATGATACAAATATGGTGTTGATACCTAAACCAGGAAGAGTCAAAATAGAGAAAGAAAATTATAGACCAATTTCTCTAATGAATATAGATGCAAAAATTTTAAACAAAATACTAGCAAGTAGATTGCAGCAACTTATCACAAGAATAATACACTATGACCAGGTAGGATTTATACCAGGAATGCAGGGTTGGTTCAATATTAGGAAAACTATCAGCATCATTGAGCATATCAACAACAAAACCAACAGAAACCACATGATCATCTCAATAGATGCAGAAAAAGCTTTTGATAAAATACAACACCCATTCCTATTAAAAACACTAGAAAGCATAGGTATAAATGGAGTCTTCCTTAAAATAATAAATAGCATATATCTAAAACCTTCAGCAAGCATTATATGTAATGGGGACAGGCTAGAAGCATTTCCAATAAGATCGGGGTGAAACAAGGATGTCCATTATCACCACTGTTATTCAATATTGTACTGGAAACCTTAGCTTTAGCAATAAGAGAAGAAAAAGAAATTGAAGGCATTAGAATAGGCAAAGAAGAAACAAAGCTATCACTCTTTGCAGATGACATGATGATATACTTAGAGAATCCTAGAGAATCAAGTAAAAAACTACTTGAAATAATAAACAACTTTAGCAAAGTTGCAGGCTATAAAATAAACCCACATAAATCATCAGCATTTCTATATATTACCAACAAAGCCCAACAGCAAGAGATAGAAAGAGAAATCCCATTTAAACTTACTGTAGACATTATAAAATATTTAGGAGTCTACCTCCGAAACAAACCCAGGAACTCTATGAACACAATTACAAAACACTTTTCACACAAATAAAATCAGATCTAAATAATTGGAAAAACATCAGTTGCTCATGGGTAGGCCGAGCTAATATAATAAAAATGACAATCCTACCTAAGCTAATTTACTTATTCAGTGCCATACCAATCAAACTACCAAAAATTATTTTATAGAGTTAGAAAAAATAATAACAAGATTCAGTTGGAAAAACAAAAGGTCCAGAATATCAAAGGAACTAATGAAAAGAAATGCAGGGGAAGGTGGCCTAGCAATTCCAGATCTTAAATTGTATTATAAAGCAGCAATCATCAAAACTGCTTGGTACTGGCTAAGAAATAGGGAGGTGGATCAGTGGAATAGGTTAAATATGCAAGACACAGTAGTCAATGACTATAGTAATCTATTATTTGATAAACCCAAAGACCCCAGCTTCTGGGATAAGAACCCACTCTTTGAAAAAAACTGCTGGGAAAACTGGAAAAGAGTATGGCAGAAACTAGGCATAGACCCAAATCTCACACCATATACCAAAATAAAGTCAAAATGGGTTCAGACTTAGATATAAAGGCTGATACCATAAGTAAACTGGGAGAACAAGGAATAGTTTACCTATCAGATCTATGGAGAACAGAAGAATTCATGACCAAACAGGAGATAGAGAACATTATGAAAAGCAAAATGGATAATTTTGATTACATTAAATTGAAAAGTTTTTGCACAAACAAAGCAACTAAGATTAGAAGGAAGGTAGAAAATTGGGAAAGAATTTTTACAACCAGTCTCTCTGATAAAGGCCTCATTTCTAAAATATATAGAGAATTAAGACAAATTTATAAGAACACAAGCCATTCCCCAATTGATAAATGGTCAAAGGATATGAACAGACAGTTCTCAGATGAAGAAATTAAAGCCATCTATAGTCATATGAAAAAATGCTCTAAATCATTATTGATTAGAGAAATGCAAATCAAAACAACTCTGAGGTACCACATCACACCTATCAGATTGGCCAACATGACAAAACAGGAAAATGATAAATGTTGGAGAGATGTGGGAAAATTGGAACTAATACATTGTTGGTGGAGTTGTGAAATGAACCATTTTGGAGAACAATTTGGAACTATGCCCAAAGGGCTACAAAAAATGTGCATACCCTTTGATCCAGCAATAGCACTTCTAGGGCTATATCCCAAAGAGATCAAACAAATGGGAAAAGGACCCACATGTACAAAAATATTCATAGCAGCTCTTTTTGTGGTGGCAAAGAATTGGAAATTGAGAGGATGCCCATCAATTGGGGAATGGCTGAGCAAGTTGTGGTATATGAATGTAATGGAATACTATTGTGCTATAAGAAATGATGAACAGGCTGACTTCAGAAAAACCTGGAAAGACTTATATGGTCTGATGCTGAGTGAAGTGAGCAGAACCAAGAGGACTTTGTACACAATAGCAGCCACGTTATGCAATGACTAAGAATGTTAAACTGAACCCTTCTCAGCATTACAAGGATCTAAGACATCTCCAGAGGCCTCGGGATGGAAAATGCTGTCCACATCCAAAGAAAGAACTATGGAAGTCGAATCACTCTCACTTATTTTTACCTTCTGTTGAGTTTTGTTTCATCTTTCTGATGGTTCCTCCTATTGGTTTTAATTTTTACTTACAACATCAGTAATTTGAAAATATGTTTAATGGGTATGTAAATGCATGTATATCAGATTGTGTGCCATCTTGGGGAGGGTGAGGAGGAGAAAAGGGAGAAAAATTTTCAACTCAAAAGCATATGGAAAAAAAATTTTTTTTTTAAATTTAAAAAACAGTAAAGCCTCCAGAGCTCATAGGATCAGCAGGAGAGCTTCCCAGAAGCAGACTTTTAAGCTATCTCAAATAGCATCTATTCCAGCCCAACCCTTTCATTTTACTGAAGAGGAAACTGAGGCCCAGAGAACACAACAGCAGAGCCAAAGACAAGAAAACAGACCCCATAATCATGATGGTGCAGATGACAAAAACACAATTCACATTTCTAAAGCCCTGCCAGGTGAACTGGGCCTTTTCTTTACTCATGCATCCTGTGATGAATGAGTAGTGTAACAATGACCCCTATTTTACAAATAAAGGAAATTAAGAAACAGGTTAAGGCTATTGGCCCATGGTCACTCAGACAGCAGGGGCGGTAGCTAGAATCCAAACCCAACATTCCCCTGACTCCACACCCTTTTTCTCTGGTTTCAACATCCTTTGTCTCCATCCATCTTCCGTGCTCTGAGATTGACAAGTCTCTCCCTCTAGAAAACTTGGCTTCCTCATCCCAAGCCCTGAAGGGCCTAGTTTGCTCTTATTACTTTGGATGACTTTTAGTGTTGCTTTAAAAACATTAAGCCATTTCTGAAGTATCTGTTCTGTCCCCCAGCTCTCTGAGATCCAGGACTTTTGCTCATTCCTCTGTCAACCCCCACAGTGGGCTCAGCCCTAGGACAGGGCTCTGTCCTCAGCTCCTGTGACTGATGCAATGTGACTACAAGTTAGTCTTTTTTTTTTTATCTTCTTATACCATCTATCTGCCTTGGGTTCTTCATCTCCTAACTCTGCTAGTTACTAATTCTTACTAAATGTGGAAGTTTGGGCAGCTACTTCCTCCCTCGGGGCCTTGTTTTTTTTCTTTGTAAAATGAGGTACTTAGGCTAGATTCTAGCTCACAAACCTACGAATTTAACCCTTAAGCTCCACAGAAAACCCCCCAACACACACACACACACACACACACACACACACATACACACACACACACAATTTCCCAGCAGCCTTCAAGGATCACGCACCTCCTTAAGCCCCCATCTCCCTGGGCCTCAGTAAACATCTCAGGATCTCCTCCCTCCCCCTCCTCTCCCAGGAAAAAGCCCAAGAGAACAGGGAGAGCCTAGGCTATTCAGGAAGGAGAGGCTCTGGTGTTGAAAGTCTTCAGATCTTTAATGGGGCTCCATTTCATAGTGGATGTCCTTCCAACCAGAATCTGTTTTTCAAAATCATGTCCCATCTCTAGATGCTGGTGAAATGAACACTGACTTGGTAGAAAGGAGGTCATAAGGAATGGACACCTGACATGGGGTGATGGGCATGGTGGGGGAAGCATCTGGATGCCTCTCTGGAACCTGCTCCAACAAGTCTGACTGCTGAGCCCTGGCTACCCTTGCCCATCTGGGCCATGCAATTAATATATTAAATACACCGGCCCAATGTCCCACCCTTCGATGCTGATAAAGCTTTCAAAGCATGCCAAGGTCACCTGGGGGTAAGGGGAGGGTTCTCTCAAGCCCAGGGCAGATGATCTCTGCTAGGGGAACAGGCAACTTCCCAGGATGCTCCACTGCTACAAGACAGGTGAGATTGCTACAGGTAGGGTTTACAGGGATCAGAGATGTCCTGTGTGATGTCACCAAAGGGTGGGGCTGAGGACAGTCCTACTACCTGCCTCCCATTACTCATCTTTAGGTAAAGGAGGGATCAGCCTAGAAGTTCCCATCCCCACTCTACTGGCCTCTGGAAGTTCCCCTAAAAAAGTTTCACACCTTTTCTCCTCACATCAGAAAGAGGTCAGGGGAGGCAGATGCCATTTATAGATATTGTCTTAACGTACAGATAAAGAAACTGAGATCCAAAGAAGTAGACTTACCCCAAATCACCCAGCAGTCAAAAGCAAGGACAATCCCAGTTCTCAGGCCTCCAGGCTCTCTCTCAATCCAAAACTCTTTTGACAGGATATTAGGAAAATAGAAGTGTTCTCCAATCTACTCATGCAAACGGGAGTAAATTTGTAACAAAAGCAGAACTTAGGTCATCCTGTCCAGATCCCCTCAGTTTTACATTTTTTTTCAATTATCAAGCATTTTTTTCTCTTTGTCTCCCAAACCCCAATGGGAAAAAAAGAAAACTCTTGTAATAGGTATAATCAAGCAAAAACAATTCCCATATTTTCCATATCCAAAAATGTTTGTCCATTCTGCATCATGAATCCATCCCCTCTGTCCCAAGGTGGGTAGCAGGCTTCACCCTCAGGCTTTTGGAATCACTTGATAATTGTGTTGATAACCCCCTCATTTGACACAGACAAAAATACTCAGCCATGACATGAATTTGAGCCCTGTGCCTATAACCAGAGCATGCTTTCTCCTGTAACCTAGAGCCTTCCAAATGGGATAGGCATCAAATCTCAATACCAAAACCCTAGAGAGGGTTGTGTTGGAGCTATTTTAAGTGATTCAATTCTCCCCAAGGACTTAAGTCTCTAGTAAGCCTTGGAGTACCAACTGATCCCCTAGGGTCTTGTGGCCTCAAAGAATACTGAGAACTCTGATTCCTGGAGAGTCTCACCTTGGTCCAAAGGAAACCCTTGGAGATATGGGGGAGGTTGGAGGTGGAAGTTTGCCTGAGCTGTTGTCAAGGTTTTGACTTCCTAAAGACACTGTCGTCAAGTGTATCTCTCAACTGCTAAATAATTGCACTGTTCACTGTCTAGAGCTCATTGGATCCATTCAAAAAGTCCTCTGAGATTCCCACAGCCTTGAAAATTAGCAGAAGCCTATGTGTAGACCCCAAGGCAGAAGCCAGCTCACAAACAGGGGCCCAGACAATGATCCAGCCCAGAGGGGGAGGTATGGTAATCAAAAATAATGGATGTTCCAGATAACCTCTCCCATACTGGCACAGATAGTATGATGTTGTGGGGAGTGGGCAGATGCGAGTCTGCCCTTCTAGTTCGGCAGGAGCTGATGTAAAAACCATTCTGCACTGCCCAAATCCACTCTGACCAATAGGCAGCCAGGCAGTAGGGAATACTGTTATGGAATCACACACTTTGGCCATGTTCCTCTTAGAAACTGAGGGTTCTATTACGGTTGTCAACATCTCTGGAAGGATGAACCATTGACTTAGATGCTAAAAGGGATCTCAGAAATCAGCTTGTCCAGGCCCCTTCATTTTAAAGATGAAGAAAGTGAGACCCAGAGAGGGGAAGTGACTTTGTCTGAAATAACACAGGTGGCAAATGGCAGAGACAGGATTCAAACCCAAGTCCTCATTGAACTCTAGCCTTTGTCACATTCCCTTATCAACTCTTTGAGGGCAGAAACTTTTTGGTTTTGCTTTTAATCTTTGTATTCCCAGTGCTTGGCTGGTAGTAGATACTTAATAAATACTTGTCAGTAGATTAATTCCACAAACATAGATAATAAAGTGGCAAAACCAGGGCTCAAAGCCAGGTCCTTTGACTCCAAATCCAGTACTCATGCCACTACTTACATGATGGTAGTTAGCTTGGTGTAGTGGAGAGGGCACAGGAACTTGGGAATCAGGAAGACAGAGGTTCAAAATCCATCTCAGACACTTGCTAGCTCTGTGACTCTGGAGAAATCATTTAACAGCTCTGTGTCTCAGTTTCCTCATCTGTAAAATGAAGGGCAGGTAGGTGGTGTGGTACACAAAGTGCCAGGCCTGGAGTCAGGAAGACATGAGTTCAAATCTGGCCTCAGATACTTTCTAGCTGTGTGACCCTGGGCAAGTCACTTCACCCTATTTGCCTCAGTTTCCTCATCTGCAAAATGAGCTGGAGAAGGAAATGGTGAAGCACTCCAGCATCTCTGCCAAGAAAAAACCCCCAATGGGGTCATGAAGAGTTGGACACAACTGAACAACAACCAAATGAAAGGGGTTTGCTCGTCTCCAAGCAGAAAATCCAGATTCTTGGATACCATTCCTATTCACTTGGCTAAATGGGGAAACACCTTTGACTTTATGATTTGGGGACTGTGTTAAGGCCACTGCTCAGTCCAAGCTACTAACTTGTTAAGTGCTGGGTGACCTGACTATGACCCTGTTCTGGGCACCTTATAGTTCAACTCTGGCAGACACAGACAAACCATGCTTGACCTATTGAGTTAATCATTTCTCTTCTCTTCCTGAAAAATGCCTTTGTTGCTTTTTTGAGGTCCTGAATGTTCCACTCCATGTACCCATAAAAGGCTTATCTTACCCTTTAAAGTAAAGTTTAACAATGTCATTAGTATGCCCTGATAATGCTGTGGCTGTCTGTGGGAAGGCTCCAATATTGGCCCTTCTGGGGTACTTCATACACGGGGCACATATGCATGAAGGCAGCATGGGATGGCCAGAACTTTGACCCAGGCACCAACATGGAGAGGGAGTTCTTGACTTCCCTTCCCAGCCCAGCCCCCTAGCTGTCACCCCCACAGTCCAATGGCCATCGTGTCCTTCTCCCAGAAGTGTAACCTGCTGTCCCAAAATGCATCTCCCAGCCTGAGGATCTCACCCCTAAAGGTGAACTCAATCCTAGCCCTCCACAATCCGTTTCCTTTTCTGTCTTCGCTTTCTACTGTACTCTCTGGAACCCTCCTCTATAGTTAACAAACTTTCATTTAGCCAGACCTCTTCCTCTTACATTCCTTCCATCTCCTGGTGCTCACTGAAACCTAGCTTTCTCTAAAAAACACCCCATCTCTTGGCACCCTCTCCAGAGCCAGGAGGAAGAGTTAACCTACTCCTTGTTCCCCAATGTTACTTTCAAACCCTCCCTCTACCACTCATCACTGTCCAGATTCTCCAGGTATCCTTTCTTCCTGATGGATTCTGTACCTAGCTTAAGTCTTGTTCTCCATCTCGATCCCCACTCTACTCCTATAATCTCTGTCTGCAGTCTACCTGAACCACACACAAGGTCCCTGGGGGGGGGGGTGAGTCCAAGGGGCCCCTCCACAAGGCCCTGGCAAAGACACAGGGGCCCCTGATGGAGGTATGTAAGGCATCTAATGAGGTAAGCCCTTGGGGGGCAGGGTGTAAATACGGCTTCTGCACATGGGAATACATGAAGAGGGCAGGTCTGTGAAAGGGGGTGTCCAGGGCCCCAGGGGGGATATATAGTGGTTAATGAGTAAGATGCATTTCTTGGGAGATAGAAAAGAGGAACTAGTTATCCAGTCAATTCTCAATTATCTGCATTATGATTAGACACTCTGTGGAATATAAATGGCAAAGAGAATTTAATGCCTGGCTGGCTTTCTCCTGCCGCCAAACATCTGGCTCACCTACATGCTGAACCCTATTAAGTCTGCTATGCTTTTAAAAAAGTAAATCCCACAATGCATTCTAAAACCAAATAGAAAATTTTTAAAATTTCCTGCTGTTATGAATGCATATAAATGTGAATTATTATTTCTCTAATGATTTCAGACAGCTAAAAGTTGAATAATAACAATCCCTCAATTCCTAATTACAGCATACTCCAAGAAGTTGGTTACTCTTACTTTAAAGATAAGGAAGCTCAGGCACAGAGAGACCAACAGAGCTGCTCAGGATCACACAGCACATGAGGGACAAAAATAGAATCTGGTCTTTTTTCTCTAGGGAGCTCATGACCAGCCTGTAAGAGCTCCCCAAAATTCAGTCTCCTATAGGGACATAAGACATACACAACAGAGCCAAAGAGGAGAAAACAGATGAGGGAAACAGAGAGAAGTAGCATCCCTGGCCAAGGTATCATGAAGTTGGCATTAGTCCCAGCGAAGAAAGGATGCTCTGTCCCCTATCTCTTCTCTGAGCCAGGACACAGTGTTCTGAGCCAAGCCACAAAGGGCCCAAGGAAACATAGAAGCTTAGTGAAGTGAAATACGTCCTACTCCAAGAACCTTGAGGCTATAATTTCTTTACATCTCTACTAGTCACACTCACTTCCCAGTCATTTCTCACATCCCCCACTCCCACCCTCCACACTCCATCCAGGAGCTTTTTCCATCTTGTTCTAGGAAAAAGATCCCAGGGCCTTTCTGCACCCTTTAGGATGTATAACTCAGAAATACCAGAGCTTCTCCTGGGAGACTTCTTCACACTTCCCTGGTCCCCTGGGGGTAGGCACAAGGCCCTCCTAGGCCTTCTGAGTATGGGCACCTACAATAGCGTCCTGTACATACAGAAGTGTATTAAGTTGTCCGTTGGATTAACTGGCTGTGTGACTTCATCTCTCTGGCCTTCCATTTTCTCAACCATAAAATAAGGATGGACAAGTTTGGGTCCTCTTTCCTTGCTAAACCTGTGTCCTATCCTCCTCTGTACTAAGGGTCCCCACAGCTCTGACATAAATGTCTATGAATTTATGAATATTAAGGATTCCATATATCTAGGCCTTTATTTCTCCATTTCCTGAAAGACTCCTTTCAGAGGAGCGGATCCCCCGGTGTTAAGGGTTTGGCTGTTTCTAGGGGTAGCTAAGAGGCAGTGTCCAATCTTCTTTCTCCACCCCCTACCTCCCATCCCGCCGCTGCCCCGAGCTTTGCTAAAGTATCAGCAAAGCTCAGATCCCTTAAAGCCCCTGACCCCGTTTCTTTCTTACTCATTCTCCAGCTGTGTGCTCTGTGAAGCTGGGGAGACCTCGGTAGAGAGGATCTCTCTCTCCAAGAGCACGGGCTGAAAATAAATGTCACGGCTCTCTCGATCCCCACCTCCTACTTCTTAAACTCATTCTCCTACCCTCAGCTTTATCCAGTGATTTTTTTCCTTCGGTCTTCGCTCACGGCCTCCCCAGATGTGCACCACTCACCTCCTTCTTGACCCCTCAGGGCTACTGGCCCTAGTGGGCACACTCAAATCCAGCTGCGATCCCCTCCTCTGCTCACCACAGGCTTCTCTGCTCCCCTCCTTTTACCTCCCTCTCCTTTCCCTCCCATCCCTCTTTCCCTGGCCTCCTCACATACCTGCCGCCCGAGCCCCTCCGCGCTGTGGCTAGGAGAGGTTGCAGCCGCCGCTTTCCTAGACTGGCAGGCACAGCCCCAATCTCAGCCCCAGCCCCAACCCCAGGTTTCCGTCTCCAGAGAACCTAGGAAAGAGAAGAGGCAAGGAGAAACAGTCAGCAGGGAGCTAGGAGCGACTCCGCCCCGGCCTCAGCCCGACCTCCCGAACACCCTCCCCACGAGGGAGCCGCCCAGACAGCGTGCCCTTGCCCCTCCTCTGTCCCTCCCCCTTGGGAACTGCGGCCTCTCTGGGCAATCCTCACCCCAGATAGGGAGACCTCGGTAGAGCGGATCTCCAAGTGCCCGGGGCTGAGAATAAGTGTCACGGCTGTCTGTATCCCTCCCTCCTTTGCCTGTCCCCTGGTGCCTAGCAAAGAACCTTGAACACAGCAGGAGATGGGGAATGAATGAATGAAAGCACCATCCGGCAACCGGATGTCCAAACGCCGTATCCCTTTCTGGGCACCGCCTGCGTTATTTTTACATAAACGACAACTAGATAGATCCCTCCTCCTCCGTGCTTTTCCTCCGTCCGCCCTCCCCCTGTGTTCCGGTCCTATCTGTCTGTCTCCAAAAAGGTTCCAGCTCTTTGCCCTCTAAGTAGCTTCAGAAAGCTGCCAATACTGGCTATTCTGCACATAAGTAATAGAATCTTGGAGTTGGAAGGAACTTTAGAGGGTACATCACTCACTCTCCTCTCCCTGGTGCTCATCACGCCCTCGTCTCCCTCCCACTCCCATCCAAAAGTGCTCACTCAAAATTTTGCTGGCTAAACTGGAAGGGACCTGATAGAAAGGACCCTAAAGCATAGAAGAGCATAGCTTAGATCTTTAAAAAAAAATGATTCTACAGGCTATAACTAGAACGTTCAGAAAGTGAAGGGTGATTGTCCCACTGTCCTATACCTGGTCACACCACATTTGAAGTGCTGAGTGCAATTCTGAATGCACATTACAGGAAATGTCCAGAGGGGGGCAATCACAGCAGTGGTGGGAAAACTGGACTTGAAGGAATTAGGGGTGTTTAGCCTGGAGAAAAGAAGTCTTGAAGAGGAAAAAAGAAAATATAGAACTGAAGAAATTGTTGGATTTAAAGCTGAAAAATTGAAGCTGTCTTCTGCATAGGAACATTTAAAAACACCTAAGAGCATCTCAACAAAACAGACCATGTATCAAGGTACAAAGAAACTTTACATAGTGTAAAAAAAATTTTTTTCTTAAAAAAGCAGAAATACTAAACATATCCTTTACAGGCCATCATGCAGAAAAAAAATAATTGCTACAGAGAACACAAAGCTAGACTTAAATGAAGATTTGATGACATCCTGAATAATGAATGCTTTGGAGAACAAATCAAAGAAACAATAACTTATATGAAAGAGAAAAATAATAATGAAACTGCATTTCAAAACTTGTGAGGCACATTAAAATAGTCCTCAGGGGGAAATCTCATCTCAGAATATACATTAACAAAATAGATAGATGAACCCCAAGTAAGCACAAATTAGATGAGAAAAAATATAAACTGGAAACCAAAAATACCAGAGAATTGATCAATGAAACCAAAGCTGGTTCTCTAGGGAATCACGAGGAGGAATGGCCAAGTAACTGAAAGGCTGTCATGTAGACTTGTCAGGTAGACTCTGATTGGCTGAACATTACAAAATCAGGAGCAATGTGTGGCAGGTGCAAATGGACAGATTTAGGTCTGGTGTAAGGAGGAAATTTCTAATGATTAGAATTCATCTAAAGTGGAATGCGCAGCCAGAGAAAACAATGGGTACCCTGTGACTAGAGGTCTTTAAGCAAAGACGGCATGAACTTGTGATAGGGGAGGTCTTGTAAAGAGGGTGGCTTATTGGTCAGGGACTGATTTAACAAAATAGCCTCTCAGGTTCTTCCTATTGTGGGAACTGCAATCTATAATTGTGTTGCCAGGAATGATAGTCAACTAGCATTTAATACCAAGCACCTATGCACCAAGTACTGTGCTAAGTACTATTAGAGCTAGAAGAAATATTACTTCTCGACTCCTTCATTTTACATTGGAGGAAATTAAGGCCCAGAGAGGAACCTTATTTCGTATATGTGCCCTTTTGTCTCTTTTAAATTATTTATTCTGAGGTTATGATGATTTGGGAAGAAAGCAAGCCTGGAGATCTCACCTCTCACTCCTTTACTTTTTATTTACTTAGGTGAGGCAATTAGGGTTAAGTGACTTGCCCAGAGTCATACAGCTAGTGGGTGTTATGTGTCTGAGGCCGGACTTGAACTTAGGTCCTCCTGACTCCAGGGCTGGTGCTCTATCCACTGCACCACCTAGCTGCCCCTCCTCCTCCCCTCACTCCTCTAAAAGGAAACTGGAGTAGGGGGGTATGCATCTACAATGAGCATGAAGCCATTCAATAGGAGAAAGGGAATGTGATTCAGACAAGGCCATCCAGAATTGGCTCCCTCTGCTTCCTTCCGTTGCTGTTGCTGCCCAACACGCAGGCCACAGGGAGGAAGCACTTGCAGTCATTGCAGACTACGACTTCAGGTTTCCACGAGGTGAGGTGGTGGCCTGGGCCACTCTAGTAGCTATTGCCAATGTGGCTATGGGCAGAAATTCAAGTGGCTGACCAGGGACCAGAGGGGCAGAGGTTAGTCTTGCAGAGGCAAGTCATAGCCTAGAGCCAAGAGAAAAGTAGAGTGGTCAGGACTAAGTCACTGAAAATTCATTTCTTTAGCTGGTAAGCTAGAGGGGAAGATACTGCTTGCTCTCTCTCTCTTTTGCCCCACAGTTCTCTATTTTTCCTGGGTACAGTCTGACACCTGGAGCTAGGTCCCAGACATATACCCTTTGACACCTCAGCCCCCTTTTCATCCTTTACAGGCGTTTCAGAAACTTCCTCTCGTCCCAAACACCTGGGAGGGCAAGCAGAAGGAAACTTGAAGTAGATTGCTCCATGAAGGTCTCTGCTAACCTTAAAGCACAGTATGTTAATTTTGGTTATCATTATTATGTAAGGGAACTTAATCTCTGTCCTTTAATTTTTACCATATTCAATAAACGATGTGACCACCGTGGGTTTAGAACTTGTGTTCTGGAAATAAAAGGGATTGCTAACTAAGAGAGGAGATTCTAAATGTGGAGTAGAGAGTTGGGGGGCCTTCAGATTTCATGGTTTTGATATTTTGAACAACATTCCAAATCATCCCCTAGCTAAATTCTGAACCCAGCTGTCTTGGGTTTAAACTGTTCAACGTCACTGCTTTGAAACCACTGTGATCATGTAGATTGGAGAGAGGTGGGGGTGTGGGGATGAAGTGAGTGGGGATATGGAAGTGATTTAAGGGTTTTCAGGTTGTTATCCTCTGATAGACAAGAGAGGATACTGTGGTCTTCTGGCCACTCATATCCCAGAAAGGAATTAAGGTGGCTACAAGGCTAGTGGTTCAAGCAGATGACACCACCTGATGGGCAACTCAGATACTATACCCCCTTGAGAGATAATATGGTGGCATGCTGCCTTTCTGTAGACTTAAGGAAGCCAGCTCAAAAACCAATTTGGACTTTGGCCACTACTGCAGAACCCCAAGTGTCGCACACAATATACATAAAGTGCCATATATGTGTATATATAATGACTACAGCAATGGAAGTGAAAGATCACTGAGATCCAAGACAATTTTGAAAGACCTAAGATGATAAATGCTATTCACCTCCAGAGAAAGAACTGATGGAATCTGAATGCAAATCAAAGCATACTGTTTATTTTACTTTATTTTTCTTGGTGAGTTTTTTTTTGTCTGTTTTTTCTTTCACAAGATGACTAATATGGAAATTTTTGCATGATTGCACATGTATAACCTTTATCAAATTGCATACTCAGGGAGGGGTGAGGAGAGAGAGGGAAGATAGAATGCTGAACTCGACATTGTAAAAAACAAAGGTTTAAAATGTTTTTACGTGTAATTGGAAACAAATAAATTATATACATACATACATACGTGTGTGTGTGTGTGTGTGTGTGTGTATGAATGAAAGATCACTGAAAGGAGGTTTAACTTTGAGCAACTGAAAAGCTAGTAATGGTCTCAAAGAAGAGATAGTGAGATACCTACTTCCTCTGGGCAGAGTGGCAGGAGACTACTAGAGTAAAATGTTGCAAACACTGTCATATATAGCTACTGTACCAGTTGTTTTTGCTTAACTATTTTAATTTGTTATTTTTAATAGTCAATTTTATATTATTTTTCATTCTGAATTCTCTCCCTCCTCCATTCCCTTCCCTCACCCATTGAGAAGCAAGAGAAACCAAGCCTATTATAAATATATATTAGTAATGAAAAACAAATGCTCACATTATTTATGTCCAAAAAGAAAAAAGAAAGAAGAGAATGCACTTCAGTCTGCACTCTCTATCTGAAAGTGGAGAGCATGTTTCATCAAGAGTCCTTTGGACCCAGGAACTATATTAACACAATTACAAAACACTTTTCACACAAATAAAGTCAGAGCTAAACAACTGGAAAAAATATAAATTGCTCATGGGTAAGCCAAGATAATATAATAAAAATGATAATTCTACCTAAATTAATTTACTTATTCAGTGCCATGCCAAACTCCCAAATAATTATTTTAAAGAACTAGAAAAAATATTAACAGAATGTCAAGAATATTAAGAGAACTAATGGGGAAAAAAAAGTGAAGGAAGGTGCCTAGCCATACCAGGTCTCAAGCTGTATTATAAAGTAGTAATCATAAAAACATTCTGGCACTAGCTAAGAAATAGAGTGGTGTATCAGTAAAATAGATTAGGTACACAATACACACACAGCAAGTAGCATATGACCATAGCAATCCAGTGTTTGATGAACTCAAAGAGCCAGGCTTTGAGGACAAAAGCTCACTATCTGACAAAAACTGCTGAGAAAACTGGAAAAAAGTATGGCAGAAACTAGATATAGAGCAACATCTTACACTATATAACAAGATAAGGCCAAAATGGGTACACGATTTAGACGTAAAGGGTGATACCAAAACCAGATTAGGGGAGCTTGGAACAGTTTATATGTCAGGTCTATGGATAAGGGAAGAATTTATGACAAAACAAGAGACAGAGAGCATTATGAAATGTAAAATGGATAATTTTGATTAATATTAAATTTTAAAAATTTTGCACAAACAAAACCAATGTAACTAAGATTAGAAGGAAAGCAGAAAGCTGGGAAAATATATTTTATAGCAAGTACCTCTGACAAAGACTTCATTCCTCAAATATATAGAAAACTGATAAAATTTCTAGGAATACAAGTCATTCCCTAATTGATAAATGGTCAAAGGATATGGACAGGCAGTTTTCAGATGAAGAAATCAAAGCTATCTATAGTCACATAAAAAAAATGCTCTAAATCACTATTGGTTAGAGAAATGCAAAGTAAAACAACTCTGAAATATCAACTTACAGCTATCAGAGTAGCTAACATGACAGAAAAGGAAAATGATAAATGTTGGAGGGGATGTGAAAAAACTGGGACACTAATGCACTATTGGTAGAATTGTGAACTGACTCCACCATTCTGGAAATCAATTTGGAACTCTGCCCAGAGTGCTATAAAACTGTGCATAAAAAGGAGGGCTAAGGAACTTATTTGTACAAAAAATATCTATAGCAGCTCTTTTTGTGGTAGCAAAGAACTGGAAATAGAGAGGATGCCCATCAACTGGGGAATGGCTGAACAAGTTGTGGTATATGATTGTAAAGACATACTATCCTGGGGGCAGCTAGGTGGCGCAGTAGATAGAGCACTGGCTCTGGATTCAGGAGGACCTGAGTTCAAATCCAGTCTCAGACACATAACACTTACTAGCTGTGTGACCCTGGGCAAGTCACTTAACCCCACTGCCCCCCCCCAAAAAAAAGAAATACTATTGTGCTATAAGAAATGACAAGCAGCATGATTTCAGAAAAACGTGGAAAGATTCCCATGAACTGATGCTGAGTGAAGTGAGCAGAACCAGGAGAACATTGTACACAGAAATAGTGTACGATGATCAACTATGATGGACTTAGCTCTTCTCAGCAATACAATGATCCAAGACAGTTCCAAAGGACTCATGCTGAAGAATGCTATCCACCTCCAGAGAAAGAACTGATGAAAGCATACTAGTTTCCACTTTATTTTTTTCATGGTTTTTTTTTGTCTGTTTTCTTTCACAACATGACTAATATGTTTGCTTATACATGAATAACCTATATCAAACTGCTTGTTGTCTCAGGGAGGGGAGAGGTAATGGAGGGAGAGAATTTGGTACACAAAATTTTTAAAAAATGTTAAAAATTGTTTTTACATGTAATTGGAGAAAACCTAAAATATTATTTAAATATTACTTAAAAAAGGAAAAAAATCCTTTGGAATTGTGGTGGGTCATTGTGTTAGCATTACTAAATCTTTCAAAGTTGACTTTCTTTACAACATTGCTGTTATTGTATAAATTGTTCTCTTGGTTCTGCTCAATTCATTCTGCATCAGTTCATGCAATTCTTCCCAGGTTTTTCTCAAACCATCCCTTCATTATTTGTTACAAAACAATAGTATTCCATCACATTCATATACCACAACTTGTTCAACAATTTCCCCAATTGATAGATATCCCCTCAGTTTCCAATTCTTTACCCTGGTGAAAAACTGCTATAAATATTTTTGTACATGTGGATTCTTTTCTCTTTCTTTGGTCTCTTTGGGGTAGAGATTACTGGGTAAAAGGGTATGAACAATTTAATAGCTTTTGGGGGATAGTTCCAAATTGCTCTCCAGAATGACTGGACTACTTCACAGCTCCATAAACAAAACAATACACTAGTGTACTATTTTCCTACATTCGTCATTTTACCTTTTTGTCATCTTAGCAGATCTGATGGTGTGAGTATTTTAATTTATTATAAAGGAACCAAACCTGGTTTAAGACTTTGGGATAGTTTCTGTCACAGGGGCAGGGACCAGACGACCCCATTTCCTCATTTAGGCCATTTATCAACAAGTAGCAAGTATATGAGACCTGCTCTAAGTGGGAAGATGGAACCCTACAATTCAGAATATTTGAGCTAGAAGGGACCTGAGAGAGGAATGAATGAAGTCTTTATTTCAATTTTATTAATTTTTCCTTTGGTTTTCAATATTTCTAACTTGGTGTTTAGTTGAGGATTTTTAAGTTGTTCTTTTTCTAGTTTTTTAGTTGTATGCCCAATCCATTAATCTCCTCTTTTTCTATTTTATTTATGTAAGCATTTAGAGATATAAAACTTCCCCTAAGAACTGCTTTTGCTGCATCCCATAGGTTTTGGTATGTTGTCTCATTATAGTCATTCTCTTGAATGAAATTATTGTTTCTATGATTTGAATGAAGTCTTTATTAAGCACTTATTGCATACACTACTAAATACTGGGAATACAAATAGAAGACAACCCTCGCTCTCAGGGAGCTCCCATTCTAAAGAGGAAGATAACACATATGGAAGGTTTCAGGGGCAAGTTAGATGGAAAAGTCTCATGAACCTTAGGGTGCAGAGACAAAGCAAATGGTGATGCCTCTTCTTTAATGTCATTTCCACTGATAAGATCATATCAGTTTCTGATGCTGAACCATTTGACAGGATCAAGGACTGTGGCGACAGGAACTTTCTTTTCTGAGTTTTCAGTAGCTGTAGCTGTAGCACTTACAGGAGTTCCCCAGCGGCATCTCTGTACGGCTTGTTTCCTAGGATGATGCTAAAAGCATTACTATCCCCATGATTCAAAGTCCTGGGCTGGCTGACTCCATCAGGATCTGAGGAGAGACGCTAGTCAAGGCTGTGGCAGTGCTCTAATTTTCCTGACACATGCTGCCTCTTTCTGTCCTTCAGTGTACCTTGCTGCTTCAGCTAAGTGGGTTTGGCTGCCCTGGGTGTGACATTTGGTTAGTGGTTAGTGAGGATGGCTACTGCCTACTACACAGGACTTTATTCTCTGGATGATGGCTATGAGGGCTGGGCTAGAGTCAGGTCTGGTGGCCTATGAGGCGCTGCCACTCTCAGGGTTCCTGTGTCTTTACAACAACTGGTGCCAGTTGGTCAACAGTTGCTGCTGGTGATGATAAAGAAGCTTCACACACACGCACACGCACACACACACAATGATTTCTCCCATTGATGCAGGCTATGGAGGCTGGGCTGGAAGCACATCTGATGGTATGGGGTCCACTGCTATTCCCAAGGCTCTTGGGCTCAGGGTGCCTTGGCCTCAAGTGGGCTTGCCCACCTCCTCTTCAGGGTGCCATGCTGCTTAAGCTAGCGATTCTAGATCTAGAACTGGAAGGTACTCCCAAAGCCATCTACCCCAACCCCCTCATTTCAGGCCCAAAATGACTTGATGGAGATCATCCACTCATAAATGTCAGAGTAGGGAACTGAACTCTGGTCCTCTGACTCCACATTTAGCTATTATCACATTGCCTGACCAGATCCACCTCCTTTTCCCCTCAGATCTCACACAACCCTTTGCTTACACTACCCTAATGGACTTACCTGTGATACACAAAAATACATGCTATCTGTCCATCCTATCATCCTACTAAACTCTCAAGGGCAGAAGCAGCCTATTTCAGCTTATCATTCTAGGAGCACAAAGTTCATCTTTTTATGTGGCAAGGAGCATATCTTATCTATACCTCACATCTTTTCTAGGGCCTCTTCTGGCAGCTAGGGACTTCTCACAGCTAGGAACTTAATGAAAGTTTGCTGTATTGAATTAAACTCCTACCTTTACAGAGGAGGAAACTGTAGCACTAGGATGTTACGTGGTTTGTCCACAGTTACATAGATTCCAACTCAGCACTTCCAATCCCAGGTCTAGTTTCCTTTCCCTGACAGCGACCCCACTGCCTCCGAGTTTCAGGGAACTCCCAGTCTGATGAACAGAGGCGTCAAAAACAGGTGTCAAGGATAAGGGAGATACCAGCTTTGACCTCAAGGATTTTAGCATCTGATAGGCTGGACCTGAAAACATGCAAAAGCCCAAAGATAACTAGGTGGTATGGCTGGAGAGATCACTGGCTCAAGAGCTGGAGGACTTGGTGTTCAAATCCTGCCTGTGTTACTCCCTGTGCGCTGTGGGGTGATGTATCATCCTCCCAGAGCCTCAGTTCCTCTTCTCTGAAATGAAGCACTGTATGGATAACCTCTGAGATCCCTTCCAGCTGGAGATCTGTGATCTTATGATCCTAGGTCAGGGTTGGGGAACCTGCGGCCTTGTAGCCACATGTGGCCCTCTAGGTCCTCAAGTGTGGCCCTTTGGCTGAAATCCACCCCTGTCCTAGGTGCAGATTGATTAGTGTTCTCTGGATTATCCATGGGGAAGATTTGAAGATAGAGGCATAAATAATTCAAAATACTGGATTAATAAAAACAAATCACTTGGCTTTGAGATGGATGCAATTATATAATAATGATAATAATAAGTGTCCTAACAAAAACCTGTATAATGTTTACAGATCACAGGGCTTGTCACTCCAAGACAGTCACAGAAGAGCTTTCTTGTCAAACTAGAAGAGGATTGATAGACGTTCTCAGAGCACATGGCAAACTGGTTAAACATTTACAGAAATACTTTTGGAGCAAACGTACCTCACCTCACAACACAAGAGTGAAGGATGAAAACTGGTAATTGCCACTCTATTTGTTGAGTGCAACTAAAAGTGGTTTATCTCTAGGTGGAACCTATTAAATTAGGACCACTCAGCGGCAGCTGAGGACGAAGTGACTCTCTACATCTGCTGGCAAAGGCACGTCCAAATGAATCATTGTTAAGTTACCTCTCAGCATTTGTATGAGAGAGGAAAAGGCCCACGTACAAGACTGATATGTCCAAAAGATTTGTTAAAGGATATGCAGTACAACCAACAGAGGCTTCAGAAGCCTAAAGATATGAACAGGATGCTACACGCCTCTCAACCAGCATCTGAATTGGACTGGTGGCATGGCAGTTCTGAAGGTGACACCCCAGCTTTCCTTTTTTTATACAATAAATTAGGAGATACTTCCTCCTTTTCAGGAGTTCCAGGATAATGACTGGTAGAGAACTAGGTATTATCTGCTACTTCTACTTTCAGATCTTCACTTTGGGATTTTTGATTGCAGTAAATAATGAAGGGTAATGAGAGCATGAGATTAGAATATTTACCTATTTATTTAAGGTTGGCTAACGAGGATGTGAGTAGTGGTGTGTATGATGCCAGGTACAATGGGGCTGTTGGGGCTCAGAAAAACACTTGTCTGTAAGTTATTATTGGGAGGGAAGAGAAGGGAGAGACCCTTTCGGTTGGTTTGGTGGGATAAAAGCAAAAGAAAGCAAGGAACAACTACAATTTACAAGATACTAGCTAATTGATATAGATGTGAGTATTCCCAAGGAAGTCTGCCTCTTAAATTGAATAATGACTGTCAAGAGAATGGATTTAGGTTGCTTCCTCAAATGAGAAATTAAAGGCCTCAAAGAGGTGCTTATTTACCTCAGGATTTTATGTTAAGAATGCTAACTTAGGCCAGCACAGCCTGGGCCCTAGCAAACCAGGGGCAGGTCTTGGGAATGTAAATGGATTAGCAACAACAGCAGCAGCTACTTCCAGAGCTCTCAACCCACAGATGTTAAGGGAGTTGAACAACTGGTCAGAAGGAGATTACAGGGGTCTTTTTGCTAGCACTGAGGCAAGACTCTGTTGCTCTGCCCATACTCGGACCCGGGTCACAGTCAGGTGGCAGCCCCAGGGCAAGGAGGAGCACCAGCATAGCAGAGCTTGTGGCAGTAGCGAAGGTGGGACCCTCCTTACAATTCCACAGTTCCTGTTTTCCAAGTAGCAAAGAGTGCTTGTGGTTGCTCACTGACTACAGCACAGGCCAGGAGAGGAATAAACACATCTCATTAGATCATACCACCTTGGAAGAACTGAAAACTTACAGGTCTCTAGAAATATCTCTGAAAACAGCTGGCTGAGACTTGGGAGAATATGCCCTCCATCCTGGAAGCAGAGCCCTACTTTAACAGAGTTAAAAGTCAACTGATAGGCTGGGAAAAGGGGCAAACAATAGGAAAAAAACTCCAACTATTGAACATTACTATGGTGACAAGGAAGATCAAAGGGCAGCTAGGTGGCACAGTGGATAGAGCACCAGCCCAGGAGGACCTGAGTTCAAATCCTGACTCAGACCAAACACTTGACACTAGCTGTATGTATGACCCTGGGGCAAGACACTGAACCCTAATTGCCTTAAAAAAAACCCCAAAACACAAGGAAGACCAAAATACACACTCAGAAGAAGACAACAAAGTCAAAGCTCCTATATCCAAAGCCTCCAAGAAAAATATGAATTGGTCTCAGGCCATGGAAGAGCTCAAAAAGGATTTTGAAAATTAAGTAAGAGAGGTAGAGGAAAAATTGGGAAGAGAAATGAGACTGATGCAAGAAAAGTCAACAGCTTAGTAAAGGAGACACCAAAAAATACTGAAGAAAATAACACCTTTAAAAATAAACTAGGCCAAAAGGTAAAAGAGGTACAAAAAGCCAATGAGGAGAAGAATGCCTTAAAAAGCAGAACTAGCCAAATGCAAAAGGAGGTCTGAAAGATCACTGAAGAAGATAATTCCTTAAAAATTAGAATGGAGCAAATGGAAGCTAATGACTTTATGAGAAATCAAGAAACAATAAAACAAAAGCAAAAGAATGAAAAAAACAGAAGACAATATGAACTATCTCACTGGAAAAATAACTGACCTGGAAAATAGATCTAGGAGAGAAAATTTTAAAAGTATTGGATTTCCTGAAAGCTACAATCAAAAAAAGAGCCATGACATGATCCTTCAAGAAATTATCCAAGAAAACTGCCCTGATATTCTAGAACCAGAGGGCAAAATAGAAATCGAAAGAATCCACCAATCACCTCCTGAAAGAAATCCCAAAATGAAAACTCCCAGGAATGTTATAGCCAAATTCCAGAGCTCTCAGGTCAAGGAGAAAATATTGCAAGCAGCCAGAAAGAAACAATTTAAGTATCATGAAGCCACAGTCAGGATAACACAAGATTTAGTAGCTTCTACATTAAAGGATCAGAGGGCTTGGAATATGATATTACAGAGGGCAAAGGAGCTAGGTTACAACCAAGAATCAACTACCCGAAAAAACTGAGTATAATCCTTCAGGGGGGAAAATGGCCATTCAAATGAGATAGAGTAATTTCAAGCATTCTTGATGAAAAGACCACAGCTGAATAGAAAATTTGACTTTCAAATACATACAAAGGTAAACAGAAAAGGGAAATCATAAGGGACTTGATAATTTCAAACTGTTTACATTCCTACATGGGAAGATGATATTTGTAACTCATAAGACCTTTCTCATTATTAGGGTAGTTAGAAGGAGTACATATAGACAGAGGGCACAGGTGTGACTTGAGTATGGAGGGATGATATCTAAAAAGTAAAATTAAAGGATGAGAGACAGAGAAAGGGAAAGGTAGAATGGGATAAATTATCTCACATAAAAGAGGCAAGAAAAAGCCTTTACAGTAGAGGGGAAGAAGGGAGAGGTGAGGGGGAGTGAGAGAACCTTACTCTCATTAGAATTGGTTCAAAGAGGGAATAACATACACAAGCAATTGCGTATAGAAATCTATCTTACCCTACAGGAAAGTAGGAAGGGAAAGGGATAAGAGAAGGGGGGTGTGATAGATGGGAAGGCAGATGGGAAGAAGAGGTAGTCAGAAGCAAAACACTTTTGAGGAGAGACAGCGTGAAAGGAGAGAGAGAATAGAATAAACAGGGGGGATAGATTGGAGGGAAATATAGTTAGCAATATAACCAAAAAAATTTTTGAAGCAAATTTCTCTGATAAAGGCCTCATTTCTCAGACACATAGAGAACCGAGTCAAATTTATAAAAAATAAGAGCCATTCCCCAATTGATAAATGATCAAAAGATATGATCAATTTTCAGATGAAGTAATCAAAGTTATCTATAGCCATATGGAAAAACAGTCTAACCCACTACTGATTAGAGAAAAACAAATTAAAAGAATTCTGAAGTACTACCTCATACCTATTAGATTGGTTAACAGGACAGTAAAGGTAAACGACAAATACTGGAGGCAATGTGGGGAAAATGAGACTTTAATGCACCACTGGTAGAGTTGTAAACTGATTCAACCACTCTGTTGAGCAATTTGAAACTAATGCCAAAGGGCTATAAAACCACGCCTATCCTTTTGCCTAGCAATACCACTACTAGGTCTGTATACCAAAAGAGATTTTTTATAAAAGGAAAAGGACCTATATGTACAAAAATGTTTATAACAGCTCTTTTCCGGGGGTAAGGAATTAGAAATTGAGGGGAAGCCCATCAATTGGGGAATGGCTGAAGAAGTTGTGGTATGGGATTATGATGGAATACCATTGTACTATAAGAAATGATAGGTTGCTTTCAGAAAAACCTAGAAAGACTTGCATGGGCTGATGCAAAGTGAAATGTACGTACTGTGTACAAAGTAACAGCAATATTGTAAGATGGTCAGCTGTGAATGACTTAGCTATTCTCAGCAATACAATGATCCAAGATGACTCTGAAGGACTTATGATGAAAAATGGGTGTCTGAATACAGATTGAAACATACTTTTTTAAGCTTTATTTTTCTTTCTTTTTGTTTTACACTTCCCCCCCCCTTTTTGGGGCTAGGCAATGGGGTTAAGTGACTTGCCCAGGGTCACACAGTTAGTAAGTGTTATGTGTCTGAGGCCAGATTTGAACTCAGGTACTCCTGACTCCAGGGCCGGTGCTCTACCCACTGTGCCACCTAGCTGCCCCTAAGCTTTATTTTTCTTAAGTTTTTTCTTATCTGTTTTCTTTCACAATATGACTACTAT